GTGTTTTAACTCCGAGGTTATACATATTAAAAAAGTAATGTGTAACCAAAGTGAATGTTACAGTACATAAAGCAACATTGTACTACCTAAATTTATGCAAATCAATGTACGTGTACAAAGAAAGAAAAAAAAAAGAGATTGTCATTATATGAATTACTGCTTCGATAGTTTAAAATCATATTTTTTCTGATCATCAAGCTATGTAAATGCTATACTTTTCAATGATGCAGACGTAAAAGACGAATAATAAAAGCGATTCATATGTTACGAACTAATATAAAATTTCCAATGTTTTGATTTATAATTTTAAAAATTATAAGTATTACCATACATCCAGAAAAAATTTCGTAGTTACAAATAAAAATCTTCCTATTTGACAATAGAAATTTTTCAGAATATTAAATTATTTTTTCGTTCTTATCATTCTTGATCTAAGGATCTGCAAGGTGGAGTGCACAAACAACTGCTGCTTCCGTTTCACAATCTATTTAATTAATCAACCACAACTTTCTTATTTATGGTCGCTCATGTGCTCATGTGAGTATCATCTTTACTTCGCCACCCGCAGCCGTCTCCAAAGGTCTCCTCTCAAAAAACTTTAGGGTCATATAACCTTCATCTTTACTCCATAAAAAGTTGGATAGTGCACTAACGTGCCGACATTTAACAGTCTTGTTGATCATTTTATCGAAAGAAAGCTTGGGTTTTTATCATTTTTCCAAGATATTTCAACTATTTGTGTAAAACATCTTTGGTCAATATTTCACTAATCTATAATGAAAAAATGACAAAACTTGGTTTAAATAAGAGACTCAAAATAATGAATTTGCAATATTATCATATAATTTTTTGTCATTTTTTTGACTTTAAAATTTTTGGTCAAGCGATCGAAAGGGAAAGAGTTTTTTTATATTTTAAAATCTTTTATTATGCTTGTAGTAACTATATGGTATTAAAAAAAAAAAGTAATTATCCATTCTTTCTATTTGTCTATAATTATACCGGCCAGAATTAAAATCCTAGATTGTGTGACAGGCGACACGTACACAGTACACTTTAATTGTTTTTTATATTTAATTAAATTCCAATATATTTTTTTTTCAGTGGATTTCCTTACAATTTCATTTCGAAAATGAGACTTAGTATATTTTATTAAATAACAAAATAAGTGATAATTTTAACAAATAAATATTTTTTTTTTTTTTTTTTGAAAAAAAAGAAAAAAGATAATAATATAAACCGTATTACGCATAGTAATAGAAAATAACTGGAAACCAGGAGGAATAATAATTNTTTTTTTTTTTTTTTTTTTTTTACAGTATATAGGATTTTAAACGGTTAAAAATAAATTTTTTATCAGATAATTGGTCCAAAAGGATAATTTTTTATCAACCTATTTTATTTATCTAATTGAGACTATCTATCCAGATATCCAAAATTTTGTTTTAAGTAAAATTTGGACACGAATGATACGGTACAAAAATACTAAATTTGTAGCTTAAGAGGTCCCTGAAATATCAATATATACAGTACATACGAAAAAGAAAAAAAAATCATAATGCAGGTGGAAATTTTATCACCTTTTTTAGATATTGACTGAAATTATCACTGAAAAAATGGTACAGTTAATAGTAAAGTTTTTGTCTGCACCTGACCTATATTTTTTGGGATCCTGTTCTAGTAAGCGATATAATTAATTCGAAGAAAATTTTTATAAATGAACTATTTTATAGATGTCAAATTTAATTCAAGAGATTTCTCATAATCATATACGTTCATACGTTCATAAATTTTTTTTTCTTTTGTTACTATCTTTACAATACAATAATTTTTAACTTGAGTTTCCGTTCTTCTTCCCTCTTTCCTATTTAATGATATTTTCCTGGCTATATCTGCCCATTTCCTAGAATAACTAGAATTAGGTTGAAGTTCATCAATTGCTATTTTTTCTTGAATTGTTAGATCAGATTTATCAAATATAAAAGAAAATTAATCAATTATAATAATAAAACAATTAACGAATAAAAAAAAAAGTAATTAATCAGAAAAAAAAAATACAAACTAGTTGGATAATATATTTAACATAAATAAAAAATTCAGTAGTAAGTAAAAAATTATTATTGATATAATATTGTTTTTGAAAAATAATAACTCACCGCTCAGGCGCTCACGAATACTTCCACCGTCTGTGACCTCATTTTAATTTATTTTCCATTTAATATTTCATTCGAATGAATAACATATAAATTAATTATTAAATGATCCTTCTGTATAATTTATTTAATATTAAAAAAAAAAGAAAATGAATTAAAATTCCTACTAATGTATTTCGTACCTTCCTTTGTGAAAGCAACACTCCTAATTTTACCATCATCTTTTTTTTTTGAAAAAGATAAAATGAGAATCCTTTTTTCTGAAAGGTGACAATTTGAAATAATTAAATTCAATAAAGTTATCATATAACGTAATATTGGCCTTATTTTCACGATATGAAAAAAAATCTGTTAAAGGAATTAGGTACTATGAGTATTATAAGATAAACAAATTCCTAATTTTTAAAATTAGTAATTAAAGCTTGTATAACATTTAGTTATTGATTGTACAAAAAATTCTCAACATTTAATTAGTTTATCTTAACAATTACACAAATGAAACATACAGCGAGTATACAGTGATTGGCAATGGTAAATAAATATTTTCCCTCAGAAACTACTCGCATACCGTATATTGTATATCGAAATTGCTTTTCACCGATAAAATAAGCGAACCTGATAATTAAATTTTGCAAATAAAATAAATTAGTATTATTTGAGAATAGGAATAGCAGTAGAAATTCCAGACGTTCACATTAGTTGGTGGCATACATGAATAGACTGAATAGTCGCTATTATTAAACAATAAATGATTATAATTACAAAAATTATTTATTGCCGTTTTCAATTTGATAACCGGGGTAATAACCAGTTAAGATACAAGTTCTTAATTTGAGACGTGTATTTTGTCGTACGTGTCGTACGTTATATACCGTACTTTATATACCGTACAGTATATATATTTATTTCATATAATATTTTATTGATACATACAGTATTAACTTTAATTACTTTGATATAATTAATATTTTTCGCTTAATAATTTTTGAATTTTAACAAAATCTTTTTATGAAAATCATTTAATCAACAAAAATATTAACGTTACGTTAAAACTTGATTGAGAAACATGTTTTTTCAATTTTACTGAGCATAGTACGTTTTATACGAGTGATATTTTGACTTTTTGTGTCAATCTACTGCTGATGACCCCGATAACTTATTAAGAACTTTTTAAAACTAACAAAATTAATCTATTAGATAATTCACTGATCTTTCGTTCCAAAATTGAAAGGATTATTAAGTCCTCAATTCTGCCCTATCTAAAAGAAAAAAAATTAAATATATAATAAATAAATAAATAAAAAAAAAAAGGTTTCGGTTACAAATAATTTTTTTTGGCACATCGAAAGTGTTACCCTCTTGTTTGTATCTCAATGTTCTTCTTGATAAGAAATTAAAAATATGCGAAACCCATTTTTTTTTTAAATTTTACAAAATGAAATAATAAACTTGAGATATTTCATAATTATCAATTTCAAAGTTATTTATATTAGAACTTGTTGAAGAATATCTTTCATCCTGAATAGAAAATCAAACGGAATAGGTATAGCACGCGAATAAAGTATTCAATTGAAATATTTAATTAAAATCTTATTTTTTTATTAATAGATTATACGTGTTCTCTTATGCTGGTTGACCCATTAATACCTAATAGAGTTCCCACAGTATTGATCCTAATGACCGATCACCGACCTAAATAGTGAAAGAATGAAAAAATTCTTTCGGTTTGTATAAAAAACTAAACCGAATAAAGAAAAGAAGGTTTCTGCGCCCTCAGGAATTGGCTTATGATATGCTAAAATATGACGCATTCTCAATATTGGAGTAATTGGGTTAGATAGTAGGAAGATATATGAATTTTGCAGGAATATTTCATAAGTTCGCCGTGATGTAAAATGCAATAAAATCATTTATAAATTTATCTCTTTTTTATTCAAAACTTCTGTATATTAAAACATAAAAAAATGAAATATACAAATACTTAATATTCAAAAAAATAATTTTATTCACCTTCGCAATCAATTGAACCGCAGCATGATTATAAACTGATAAAGCTCGCTTATATTTGCCATTTCTTACCCAATATAGTCATGCTTGATTACGAATTTAAATCAGGAATCTTTCTAGATTAATTAAATGTAAGAAGATTCTCCCATTTACATATTCTTCCTAAAACATAAAGACCTTTGACGGGCGAAAAGTTTTCAATCAAGATTTATGTCAGGCTGGAAGGTGAAATATAGTATTAAGGTTGTCATTAAAATATAATACCAAAATCATTATCTGAAAGATTTTGAATTATTGTTTTATAGTACTCGTAGCGAACACGTATTCAAAAACAAGTACATTTTGTACATTAATTTTTAACTTATTGCGTTTTCCATTAAGGCGTTGCTTATTCTCGCACATCCATAGATAAATAGTGAAATGTGCAGCTCTACCGTAAATGATATTAAACAAAACAACACTGTTGTTCTAAACTTAACAACGAGAAGGGAATAGCATAGCTTACTGATGATAACAGTGAAAACAGTGACTCGAATTGGATATTCTGCGACAATTTGAAATTAGGAACTTATCATCGTACTTATAAGTCCCGTATCAATTCGCATTTTATGTTTAGGACGGGTAGATGATTTTATGATTTTGCGCCTATAATCTGCACATTTGATACAAAATACTTTCATTAATTAGAATAGAACTTTATATTTTAAAATTCGGAAATTATTTATAATCAATTTGTTACATATTCAGATTTTATTTTTAATTTGTAAAGTGAAAAAATAAACAAAAAACAAAAAAATAAATAAAATAAAATAAATAAATAAACTAACAAAAAAAAAAATACATGAATCAAGAAAATAAATGAAATATACAGTAATATATACGAAAGTTTCGGCACGACGTACTAAAAAGAAATCTTCAAATAATCTTATTTATTTCGCAATTTAAAATTTATTATTAACTTACTTACAATTTACGTGAAATAGTTGAATTCATTTCAATTCATTTCGTGTGGTTTAATTAGCTTGGTACAATGCCAATTTTTTCCCAATTAAAAACTTTTTCATGACGTTCCTTTAAAGGACCAAATTCTCCTTTAACATTTATATAATTATAAGAAGAAGGAGGAAGAGGTTCGTTATGAATATTCGTCGCCCTATTTATGAATTCAGCAATACGTTCATATGACTTCGTAGAACAAACATGTTCCATCATCATCTAGAATACATTATTAGAAGAGTTAATTTTTTTTAAATTTTTTTAAAAAAAAAAATAAAATCAATTTTTAGTAATATTTACTTGGAACACGTGAGGCATTTCTTCATATATTTCAAGTGTAGTATTCGTCGGAGTTTGGAATGGAGATTTTTCAAATTTACCAGCATTATAAGATGGACCCTTATATTTAGTTGGTTCAGCAGATCTATGAGCAAAATAAATTGATTCATCTCGTAATCTTTCATCATCTCCCGCAATCTATATTATACAAATAAATCATTTGTTAGTACAAAAAAATCTAAGAGAGGATCAAGGAATTAACTTTTCTTACCAATAATAAAGGAGGTAAATCGCCTAAACTATCAGCTAACATTGAACTAACATATGGAATTGCTAAACCTTCATTAGCTACGTATAATTGTAATCTTCCCTCAGGTCTATCAAAGGAATCATGCCAAATTTTAGGACCAAGATTTTGGTTCTTAATCTTCTCTGCGAGAGCAGCATCTTTTTCTTTATATTCTTTACTAGCTGGAGATTCTGCAAAATTAACAGCACTACCTCTTTTCTGATTTGGAACAAAATCAGCACAATCGTCATTTATTATTGAAGGCGTGCTAACTGTTAGGTCAACCCATGGGCTCTGTAATGTGTCGCGATATTATCATTTGAATGATTAGTAATTCAACAATACAAATAAAAAATACAAACTATATTTACCAAACCGATAATACCAGCCGATGATGACAAACCAGCATCACGTATAGCAAGACCAAGAGCAAGACTTAAACCGCCTCCAGCACTATCACCAGCAAAGACAATATTTTTTGGATTTAAAGGTTCAAATCCCGCATCTTTTGGAGGATTTAAAAGATATAAATAAGCAGCCAATGCATCATGTAATCCGGCAGGAAATTGATTTTGAGGTGCAAGCCGATAATTGATTGCTATAAAAGAAAAATTTTAGTTTTGGTAATACATTAAAGATTGATAAAAATTTCATTTCTTCCAAGAGATTAAACTTACCTAAAACTCTTGCATTTGCTAATTTAGCAAGAGAGCTTGTAATAGGACGATAAGATTCTTTAGAAAGAAAATAATAACCTCCACCGTGTAAATACAAAATAGTTTTCCTAACTTCATTTTTTTCCCATTCATCATTAGAAACTTGAACCCATTCAGCAAAAATTCCATCATCTTCTTTAAAATTTTTCCATTCAGGGTCTAAAACATGTTCATATGGTTTCAAAATTTTATCAAGATGAACTTGTGCTTCATTTCTATAATCATTATTTATCTTAAATTCATTTATAATCACGCCAGCTTTTGCAGGACTAGGAAGTGAAATACTTTGAAATTGCTCAATTGTTTTGGTATTATCGGCTAAAAATGCAAACTTTGCAAAAGATAAATGACTTTTTAAATCCCATGAAGGTCTTGGAGGTCCATTAAGATAATGTTTTATTGTTGTAGAAATTATTAATGAAGAATATTTTAAAAAGTCTGTCATTTTTTCAAAATAGTAAAACTATAATGTAGTGCAAAAAATAATGGTTCTATTTATATTAGAATAAGTATAGATATTATGAATTCCGGTTTTTACTTGTACTGGTACTAACATGTGATAATATTTTTTTGGGTACTTTTAAATAATATATTGTTTATTATCCCACGGTTCCTAGTTGATATTCACACGGGGGGTTTATTTAAAAAGATGGATAAAAAGTCTAATTATTCCTATTCGGTAACCCAACCGTTGTACTTTAAAAATACGGGGGACAAATGATCATCAAAATTGCAAAGTATACTCTTTTTTTGGTTATCTACCAAAAACTATTGCAAATTTAATATCTTAGATTATAGAATTAAGATTAAATGATGGTGAATCTGAATCCTATCCTCATTCATAACGAATCGATGCAGTTTTTTTCCTTTTATAAAAAAAAAAAGGGGTAAAAAAAAAAAAACTTTTTTTTAGCAAGTTGCACAAATTTCCATAAATGTATAAATAATCATTCAAACAATGAAAACCGGATCAAACACGTGTAAAAAATCTATTGTCTCGCAAAACTTCTTTTTTAGTAATCAATAAATTCATAAATGAATGAAATTAAATGATTGATAAAATACAAACAATGATTTTTGTTTATTTTGCGTGTTGCAAAATATTTTGTGGCTTTTTAAAAGAATTCTTAAAATAGAAATTTTTTTCTTCACAATAAATTCGCAAACAAAATCTCTATTATAATATTATCAAAACCATGATTTATTGATCTTTTATTATCAAACAAAGATTTTTTTTTTTTTTATAAAAAAATGAAACTTTTATCTTAAAGTGCAGGAGTGCAAAACCGAATAATCCACATTCACACAAAATCATTCTTTTTTTTTTTTAAAAAAAAAAAAAAATATTTTAATTAATGTAAGTTTCTTAAGTTAAAGAGTTTTTGAATTGAATAAATAAAAAATACAAATCTGAAAAAAATTTCCCTTATAAAAAAATTTATTTAATATATTATATATTATTAGAAGTTATTTTAACATTACATAGTATATATTGTATTAAAAAACATGAATTTGTTAATAACTTATAGCTTTAGTTCATAAATTTACTATGGTCAGATTAAGATAAAATATTCTGCTTTGTTTGTTATAATGAGGAGTTCTATTAATGAATAAATGAATAACTTGTTATTAAATTTACTGCGCCACATGCCATCGCCAAAAACAATAAATAAATTGGGGTTGCGTACTTGCGTTTTTTTTCTTTTAAATAAAAAAAAAATTTTAAGTGTCGATTGTTTGGCATCACTATAATGTTAATGTAAATTTCTTTCCGGAGAATCATATTAATTAGAGATGCAGTTGGGACTTGATCACATTGAGATGAGCCGTACCACAACTGAATTATAACTTGTGTGTAGTATTTATTAAAATTTAAATTTTCTTAAAAAAGTATATTATAAAGTATAAAATAAAGTATGTAAATATCATTTTTTTATATCATTCTAATTATTCATTCTTTTTCTCCTTCATTACTATGAAAATTATTGTTTCATGAAATATATAATCAAAGAAGTTATTTAAAATCAGTATGGAAACTTTAAATTCGGAAGCTTTAAAAAATTTATACTGTTAAGCCATGTATACTATTAAATTATTTTATGCTATCTATTTAGATATTAACACCACATTATTGGATTTCACACGGTTTTGTCGTAACTTGTGACCATAATCCGCTATATGCCGGCCAATTCATTGGGACAGTTATGAATTGAACCCATAAATCATTAGAATAAAATTACTTCTTGTCATTTTTATTGTTAATTTGAGACCATCAAATAGTGAAATTTTTTAATTTTGCTTAATCAGAGAAAGTTTTAAATCAACATGAAATTTCTGATATATATTTAGTAAAAATTGGTTATTACATAATGTTAATTTATAGAGTATTAAATTATTATTTATAAATTGGATTATAACGTTAGTGAAAAATTAAAAATTGATTAAATTATTATTATTTTTTTTTTTTTGGCGGGTATTTTCCAAAAATCATATAAAATATATTTAAGGCAAAAGAACAATAAAAAATTAGAAAAAAAAGAAAATGTTAGTAAAAAAAAATAACCAAGAAAAAAAATTATTAAAAAAAATGTGCTTACCGTAGCACCGCAGTATCGATTTGATCGATCCAAACCTAAAAGGTGAAATGCATAATCGTAAATAGAAAAAAAGTTAATCCCCCCAAAAAATATTAAAAAAAAAAAATATTAAAAAGGAAAAAATATTAAAAAGGAAAAAAACCAAAAAACCTGAAAAAAAAAAGCGTTTTACTGCGGCCGATCGCATCGTTTGAAAAAAATGATTACCGTAATAAACTAATCTTCTTCGTTATCCGAGCGTAATACAAATATGATTACTTCGGATATTTAATCATGATGTTCGAAAGTCAAAGAAGATTTAGATCATATTTGGCAATGTGAAGACAACGAATATTCAATTGTTGAATTGATTGAGTCAACGATAGTTAAAGTTGAAGATTTGTACAAAGTAAACAAATGATAATGATTAAAATTAATGTAGATTTTATAAAAGTTATAAGAGAAAACTCTAAATTTTTCCAGGAAAGATGAAAGCGTGGGAACTGATTAGGGATCTTTTTAATAATCAGTTTAATAAAATTGGATGTGACATTGGTTATTAAAGAGTTATGGAATCATTGCTTTAATAACTGTTACTAGAAAATTGTGGTTAGACAGATGCGTGAAAGTGAAATATATAGAAAAAGAATTAGGGATAAACAAGAAAGAATTAAGGAGTAAAGGGGAAATGTCTAATATTGATGAAAAAGAAGACAAATATTGAAAACAAAATGATGGGGAACTGCGGTATCAAAACTTAGTTATGTTATGTGGTTATAAAGATATTATTTTTTTATTAATGATATTTTTAGGTATATATTTCTACTAATTTATACTCTATACCTGATCATCATGTCCAAAAATTTTAGGACGGAAAAAAAAAGTGGAAGATTCAAAAAGTGTATAAGGAAAGTTGGGTTTTGACGCATTTCAACATCACCAACTATTTATTCATTCTTTTACGAACACGTAGATATATTTTTTTTAGCGACTTTGAATAGTAGTTTTCAATTTTCTTGTCCAAAAAATTATTTCTTTTTGTTGGCTAACGGTGATGACACATAAAATGGCCAAGTAGGGCAAGTTGTTAGCGCCGAAAAAAGTTGATAGAAAGCGATAATAGTAATTCAGGAATAACAAAGAAAGCTCACCTTTCGATAGTAGAGGATGTCACTCGGTCTTTGATTTTTTTTCTTTTTCTTGTCGCAAAATTTTTCGGTTACCGCAGCAAAAAAAAAGTGGCACAAAATTCTCGGCACAAATTTAGCCGTTGGCAAACCGCAGTAAGTCACGTTGATCACGTGATTTCACGTATTATAAAACATTGAAATTTGCTCGACCGATAAAAAGAAAAGGAACAAGGATTGGCGTCCCTAGTGTAATGGCCTAAGGCGTCTACACTCCTATTGATCTGACCAATCAATAGGACGCAGGTTCAGATCGTCCAGCCAACGATCCTTGCTATGAATATTACTGCGTGCGCAGCCACCAACTGCGTTGAAGATCCCGTACCCTTAGGGGGAGCTGAAATGATGCCAACCGATGGTGAGGTGGTTGATGTGATCATTGGTAGACTGGTATGGCGAGTCCTAGGACTGGTCACTGACTCGACCGAACGTCTGGAGCTGGTAGGTGGCTACCACTCTGCACAAGCCTGTGAGTCTCATCTGAGCTGTAAATTCAGGATATTCGGATTGCCATAAGGTTCATATAGCTCTTGTTAAAACATCTTGGTACCCGAAAAAGGCCCTTAGGGGATATAATAGGTAGGGGCGGGACTACCAACCACTTAGTGGTCAACCAATTTGAAGAGCTGTGAATACTTTGCGGTCGACTCTAACCTGAGGTAGTGTAGACTGGGAGCATAGACGACCAATGCATTACCCCCTTAGGGGAGGGTTAGAGGTGTAGATATAGGGTGGTCCCAACTATGTTGGGCCACCCTATATCTCTGAACAGAAAGCGTCACGCCTTGGGGTGGCTTGCTTCGTAGTGATTGTATTATATATAGACTTTTTAGGTTCTCTGTATAATTGAATCTACGGGTTTGATTTTCTGTTTTCTAAAAATAAAAATAAAAATAAAAAGAAAAGGAACCGGGAGAACTCTTTCCCCTTTCCATACTTTTTAATAGAAAACCGCAGTAAACACACTTTTTTTTGAAATAACCTTTCGACACTCTTTAGTGTCCGAGAAGACAGAGGACCACCTGGTGGCCTCTTATGGAAAGTTTCTTCTCTTATTACCCCGACCTTTGAAAGTTGTTTTTTTTAATTTTTACTATACAATATCGTAACCTACTTACCAGTATGGTTTCTCTTAATAAAAATACACCGGTCTTGGGAAAATTTTCCTTTGACGTTTCTTTTCAAAAATTTCACGTGACCCGTCTTAAACGGGCAGGATGCAACAAGATTTACGAAATCAGAAGATCAAAAAGTTTCTTTTTTGTAGTTAGCAGATCAACCTTCTAACACCAATGATATTCATCTAAAGATACACACAAATGATTATCATATGAACAAAACCCCTATTAAGTATAACTCAACATGCAGCATCCCTAACTTGAAATTTCAGCTTAGTAAGATGTTAGAACATTTTTTTTCCCACCAATCCGTTATTCCACGAACGGTGCAAAAAAAGTATTTCAATCTTATTCGTTCAAAACTTTTAGATAGATATCATCTTATCGAATCACGTGGTGATAAACAAAATTATAGAAACACATACACAAAAACTTTCTTTAATTTCTCTTACAAACGATATCATTTTTATTTTGGCATTTTTACACCCTGCCAGCACAATATTACACACGAACTTACTCCTCGACATAGCACTTTATGCTCTGTCCCTGCTCCCTATATCATGTCATTTAAACGACGTGGTTGTATTTTACACCACAAATTGATTAACCTTTTTCAGTGCAAGAATGATCCTGATTACCATATAGGTACCCCACTGAATAGTAAAGCTATTCATGCCACCCGTATATACAATTGTTGGCAAAATAAAAAGGTGAAACAAATCCACTCTCACCGTCTTGGGATTTCTTATAAAAGTCAATATGACACCCCCATTTTTTACGCTCACGCTCCTCCGGAACGACGCATGTACCGGAAAAAATTTTATGATCTCCAAACTCATCATGTTACTGATAGTAAAACACACAAAAAACAGAAACTTAGATTCGAACGTGCCTGTAAGGCCGTTTTTTAAAAACAAGGTACCCGCATGGACACGCAAGCGCCTGCAATCAACATAAAGGATCAAATGCACCGAGCTCGCATACATCGATTCCTTTTTTTACCATCACAAGAGATTCACAAACCTATTCAACATTTGAAATATCATCGAACCTTTTGTTCTGTTGATTTTCCAAATTATAATTTTCCTATACCACCTAGAGCGAAAAGATCTCTTATTAAAAAGAAGAAAAAGAAGAAGGTTTCATCAAATAGTTCTACACCATTAATCAGACCCATCGAACACATTCCGCAAGAACCGTCGGAAGAGATTACGTATACCCATGATTTACCTGCCATCACTATACAACCCATTCCTTCTGATGATAGGAATACTTGGCACGATAAATTAGGTTTCTTGGTCCCTAATTACCTCCTTCCTTATGTCACGGAAGATCCTATATATACCTCTAAGACACAAGAAAAGATTAAAGGGAGAACCCATACACCAGGTAGTCAACCCTGGTTTGCGGCTATTAAAAATCGAAAATTACTTGCCAAAAGCCGAAGAAAGACGGAGGGAACTTTCTTTGCGTGCACAACTTTGGGGCACTTCTTCATACACTTTAGAACTTCGTGAAAGCATGGTATCAGATCTTACCTATTTTCAAAACCATGTTCATAAAGAGATAACCAAAATGACGGACCGTCGACAATTTTTACAAACTAAACTGGATAACAATAAATATGTATCCAAAAACACGAAACGATTAGAACAACTCGAACTGGAATTTGACCAGTTCAAAATTGACTATCACTCAGTTATCGATACTCGCGCCGTCCATCATTGATTAAAGGGTGATACATCGGACGATACGAAAGAATTAGAACACCGACCAAACAAACGCTCAGATAACATGTCTTTAGATAATAATAGACAAATGGGCCCTGTTAAAAAATCTCGAATAGATTCACTAACCACAGAGGACGTTAACGCCTCTAATATTCATGATTAATATTTTTTATTTTATTTTTTTTACTCCAGTAGTTTACTACATCTTAACATCGGGTAACCCCCATCGTACAATTTTACAACATAACTACAAATGTACACAATAAGAATAGTGTTAACCATTCCATCTCTGACAGTATTTACAGATGGTGGCCATATTGGTCAAAAGAAAAATACGGACTCTTTTTTTTTAAATTCGGTTGCAGGCAGGTGTTCTTGGGAAAGTTCTTGGTTCTGACTCGTGTTCACCTATTCCAAAAAGGACAGAAATCGTCACGCTTCGGGGTGGCTTGCCGTGTAGTGATAGAATTATATTTAGATTTATTTTATTTGTGATTGAATCTACCGGTTCGCTTTTCTGTTTTCTAAAAATAAAAATAAATAAAAAGAAAAGGAACCTCTACTTTGAAATAAAAAAATAAGTTCATTAAGTAAAAACAAACAATGCGAAATAAAATGGTATTTAAGGTTCTAGTGGGTTTATGGCATAGATTATAATTTCGTGCTATTTGCATATTAAATAAAGTTAATACTGTAACTATTTTTTTGTTTTCTAAAAGTTTTTAACGTTATAAGAGTTTTAAGGGTTTAGAACATTAGGCAAAACTTGGTACGATTTTATTTCTTTTTTTTTATACCGTATTTTAGAAAAATTTGATGATTTTAATTAGGCAAAATTTATTACCGTATTTAAAATCTGCGAGAGTAATACTGTAATAATAACAATTTTTTATTATTATAATGTCATTAAAATCATTAGTTAAAATTTATTTAATCATATTACAAAAAAATTTTTTTTTTTTTTTTGGAAAATAAAATATTAATAAATTATTTGACTAGTTTTAGTCTCATTTTATAAAATACTATCATTAAATTCTACTCAAAAAGACTTTTAAGTTAACCATAATTTATTTCTCTTGATTCATAAATTTTTCGTACGTTTATACTTTCACACACGTGATAGCATTATTCATCAAATCATTTTCCGTTGAATTCCGCAGATCATTTTTTTTTTTTCGAGGATTTGTCAATAATACTTTTAACATAATATCAACAATGACATTTTATAATGTAATCATCCATCTTAAAATTATTAAATTACATTATCTTTTAACTTTTTATTGTTACGTTATTGTTTTGAAAACCGGGACCNAGTTAATACTGTAACTATTTTTTTGTTTTCTAAAAGTTTTTAACGTTATAAGAGTTTTAAGGGTTCAAAAAAAAAAAAAAAAGAAAAAATCATGTAACTATGATCATTTTGTAGAACCCTTATTTAGTTAGTAAAAAGATTTACAATTTACTAAATTAATTTGTACTAGAGATTACTTAATGAATCATTTGGTTACACAATGTTTACGAATGTAACTTTATAAGTAGAATTTCGGAGACCGTTCCAGAAATATTTTTTTTTTCTTGCTTCAAACTTATTTTAAAAAAAAATTTACAGTATAATTATTTCATTATGTCTGTTATTAGAGAAAATTTAATTGATGCTGCAATTTATAGAGCATTTGCACTAACAGATTTTAATATTCACAATAATATACACAAACAAGATGAATTTCAAAAACAAATAATTCTTGCTGATGAATCACTTACAAAAGATGAAAAATCTGAAGCAATAAGAGAATTGAATAAAATTTATGACCGTAATAAAATTATTTTTGATAATGGAACAAGAAGAGTTTGTGAAAATTGTAACCAAAAATGTTTAGCTACATTATATTGTGAATTTTGTGTTCGAAATTATTTAAAAGCAAAATTTTCAAATTGGACATCTGGAAATGATGACATTGATAATTTAATACAAGAATGTCAAATGAATACAATTAAACCAGATAGTATAGTTGAATGGATTCCATATATTAATTTTAAAAATATTAATTATTTAACAAAAGGTGGATGCTCTGAAATCTATACAGCAGAGTGGATTAATGGAAGTTATGATGAATGGGATTCTAAGGAACAACAATTTAAAAGATTTGGGGAACAATACGTGGTACTTAAAAGATTAGAAAATGTTGAAAGTGCAAATAAACGTTGGTTTGAAGAGGTTTGTAATCTAATAATGTTACAATTATTTATTTAAAAGCTTTTATAATATTTTCTTTATTTTATAGGCTATTTCACATTTAAATATAAGTAATAAATGGTATGATGCGATTGTTCAATGTTTTGGTTTGACACAAGATCCATTAAATGGAGATTATATGCTTGTAATGAATGAATTGGATATAGATTTAAGAAATTATTTACAACAAAATCATAATCAACTTACATGGAAAAAAAGAATTCAAATTGCTGCTAGTATAATTTTAGCACTTTTACGAATTCATGATGAAAATGCAATTCATAGAGATTTGCATTCTGGAAATATATTATTCAATTTTGGCGGAGTATTTAATATTAGTGATCTTGGATTTTGTGGACCTGCAGATAGACCATTAAAAAGTATATATGGAAATCTTCCTTATATTGCACCAGAAGTTATTGCAGGAAAAGAAACTACTTTTAAATCTGATATTTATAGTATTGCAATGCTTATGTGGGAGATTTCATCTGGTCAACCACCATTTATTAATTATGAACATGATTATTATCTTGCAATGAATATAATTAAAGGTATAAGACCAAAAATTGTACCAGGAACTCCTATAGAATATAAAAATTTAATGATACAATGCTGGGATGCTAATCCATTAAACAGACCAGACATTGTTACACTTCGCAAAAAAATAAGAGAATATTACCAAAATACTACCTCAACTAAATTAGAAGAAAATGATACAAAATCGGAAATGAATAGTTTAGAAAATTATACTAGCAGTAGCAAGTTATTATTTACAAGTAAAGTTCATCAATTTGAAAATCTTCCTGAGCCAAGAAATGCAACGGAAGGTATTTATTATAATATTAAATACATTAAAAGAAAAAAGTTTAATACTAACTAATATATAATTTTATAGAAGAACAACAGGGTATAAATTAAACAATTTTATCATTTTTATTTATAAATTTTTATTTATAAATAAATTATTAATTGATAAATTATCTCCATTTATTAGCATTTCATAGTAACAAATCATGTGACTTTCATATCCCTAATCATAGTAAGTATTTATTAAGTTTATATTAATCATTAATATGGTATAAGATATTTATTAATTGATTTTGCTTTTTTAGTTGATGATATTGGTAAATTGAGTAATCAGAATAATAATTCTTCAAAAATAAGTAGGTTATTTTATTTTAATATTTATTTTTATTATGAATTTGTATTAATTATTTTTAATAATTTTAGCTAGCAGTAACAAATCATTCAAAAGAAGATTAGAAAATGGTAAGTAAAATAATTGGTATATCTGTCTAATTGTTTAATATTAAATGCTATTTTTGTTTTAATTTTTAGATTTTCAAGAGATAATGCAACAAATGAAGAGAAATCGTATTAATATTGATGGTATATTCAAATAATTATTTAACCTTTTATAATAGTTATATTTAACTTAATTTATATTTCCAAATTTTTTATTTATAGACGAAGAAGAAATATATAATAATCCAAATTTTCATTCTGAAGAACAAGATGAATTTGAACTTCCCGAGAGTAAGTATTTTAAAAGTTTTTTGTTTAATCATAAAAAAAGTTTTTAATTATTAAAATTCCATTTTTTATTTAAAATAATATTCCTTCTAACGAATTTAGATATGGATGAAAATTAATTGACATTTACATTACATTATTATATTTAAAGTTTGTTATAAATTATTTAAACATTAAGTCTAGAGTAGTAAGATTAAACATCTTTAAAGATTCTTAGTTTGTAATTTAAATAATTTATTTTTCTTTCATATTATTATTTGTCAATAAATTACTTTATGAAATTATTCAAATCATATACTATATTCTCAAGTTACAAAAATCAATGAAATATTTAAATTTTGTAAGTTTGTAATTTCTTTTATAGTTGACAAAATATTGGCGAACTTTAGCAATTTTTTTTATTGTATTTTTAATTTAGAATTTTTATTTTTGTTTTTGTTATGATATTTTCACAACCAACTTGTTTTAAGATGACAACTAAAGAAAAATCTATGTCTTATTATCTTTAAAAATTTCTTTGGGATATCTGCTGTTATTTTCTGAATTCTTTCTGTACGAAAAATTGTAAAATGTATTCGAATTATCGTGCTCAAATATGTTTCTGGTATATTTAAGGTCAACAGTTTATGATAACTTTTAACATATATACGTAATTAAGTTTATTTAACATAATTTAATGGACATTATATGAGGTTGAAAAAAATGATCGGCCTTCTATAAATAGGGGTTTTTTTTTTCAAAAAAAAAAAAAAAAAAAAGAAAAAATAAATAAAATAAAAGTAATAATTTTGCTGATGTGGTAAAAGCGGATAATTTCCAGAAATTTTCTTATGTAAGATTTCAATACCATCGCACGGAATTTGGAAAATCCGTCTAGACCACATGAATGTTGGAAAGAAATAAGATGAAAATCTATCATAGAATAAAAACTAATAAGATTATTATCTATAGTTTTATCAAGAAAAGTGACTATGATAAATATTTAACTCGCCTAGTTAAGACCTCTATCTATTTGCCAACATCATTTGTTTACGCCATATCACAGTATTAAATTTCTTATTTTTGTGAATATAATAATATAAAAGGAAAATTTACACCAAAAGTTATAACTAGGCTCATAGCCTCATACTAGTCAAATCAGGAAATCGGATGGGAAGGATTACATTGAGATTTTATTGTTTTGGTAAAAAAAAGAATGTTGCACTTGCATTAATCAACCAAGTCATGATCAGTGTTCCGGGTAAAAATGTTTTAGTTAGATTTCTATAAAAAAATTTTTTGACCATTCATTAAAAATTTCCTATATCATAAGTGATCTTGCCATCTTTGCCATAAACAATGCTTTTTACCATATAATGAAGTCATGATCTTTTTTTAAAATATTTACTTTCTCAAAAATGCAACTTCCATATGTCATGTTAGGATTTTTGATATTCAATTTTAGTCTAGCGTGTTTGACTATAGGTAATAATAACAAAAGGAAATTACATCATTTTTTTTTAAAGTGTTTAACTATATACGTATTTATTATATATCGCACATATATTGGACTAAACGTGTATTTTTCAAGGTAATTTAAAATATTTAAATTTTTCTATGTTAGAATGATACAAACTTTTATTCTTAATTTTTATTAATATTTTCTTTAGTTAATGATTAGCTGTAGCCTATTACGTTGCAACAGGATTAAATGAGTTTAAATTAATATAACAAATTTTTGTTTTATATTTGGATAAATTAGATCTTATATAATATTAACATGTTTTTTACTTTTAATTTATAAAGCATATTAATTCAATAAAATAGTTTATTTCGATTATATCACCGATACAAACCTAAGGAGTTGAAAGAACGAAAAAAAGAAAAAATAGAAAAAAAAAAGAAGTAAAATAATAAGAAAAGAAGTATTACTGTAAAAATAAAAAATCACGCTTATTATAGGACTGCAGCGTTAATCCGATCGGATCCGATCATTGACCTAGATCTAAGCCTAAAGACAGAGAAAAAAATCGGGATGAAAATATTAAAAATTCGGTTTTAAAAAAAAATTGGAAAGAAAAATTATTAAAATATCAGTTTTGAAAAGACTGAAAAAAAAAATATGATTAAAAAGAAATGATCCGGTCTAAAAAAAAAGAGACCGAAAAAAAAAAGATTTTAAAATCAACGTTCAGATAGCATGGCCAGCCGAAAATGAAACATAATTAATAAGACAAATTAAGCTTTTTTTCGTTAAAAAGTATCCGATTAAATTTCATTAACCGGAACTGTATTAGTGATGAAAATATCTCAGATTAGCCATCGGAACGCATCAAATGATTTGACAATATTGATATAATATCTATCATTAAGATTTTTCCTTATATAACTACTTTCAAAAACTAGATAACGAATACATATTTTTAAAAATATGAAAAAAACATACAAATTTTTGTTAAAAAAACATACAAAAAATATTTTAAATAATATTTATTAGCCCTTGAATAATAAATAGTATTGATGACAACTAAACCATAAATTTTGTTTTAGTTTAAGCCATACTCAATTAATATAATATACATTATACAGGTTTTTGCTATGACCATTTTACGCTTAACAGTTTCAATTTGTATACTGGATAACTATGTAACATTAGCTAAACTCGACTCCCACTACGGTGTTGTTTCGTGACGTTAACCAATATAAATACAACACCGTACAATATCATAAATTAAAAAATTTAGTAAAAAAAAAAAGAGATTTTATAAAATAATAATCATTAATTAGTTTAATGAAGCTGAATTGCTGAATCGGAGAATTTTCTTGTATCAAATCTTAAAGTTTAAAATTTTATATTGATTCATAATATATAGTAAATTAATTAAATTAATGCACAACAAATAACAATATACATTATTCATAATGAATGTTCTTTTTCTTTGTACATACGAGAATAGCACTCATATGCAACGCTTAAGTAATTCAAATTTTATAATATCGTCTATTAATTAAATTTATGTTATATGTTCCATAAAATTTTCCATTTTTTTTTAAGAAAAAATAATACAAAAAAGCATAAGTTTTTCGTAATCCTATGTAGCGTCAAATTTTGTGATGATTTATTAGAAAAAAATTATTTTAAAAGAAATTTATGTTTTTAAACAAGATGCCATGGATAATTTTATTTATTCATGTGAATGTTTATCCTGCTCTAATGATTGAAAAAATTTTGAATATGAAAAATAGAATAAATATTAGGATGAAAATTCAATGGTGAATTTATGAATTTACAAAATTTCGACGATTAGAATCACGTTACCTTAACGCTCACAATCCCGACAAATCATAATCCCAAAAATTCAAAATCCCGTCTCAACATTTAATATCCTCATGAATAAAAAACAAATTATCGCCGTTTTCAGAAATATGTGTAATCCAAGCCACACGATGATCACTTAAATTTTTGTAAAAAAAATTTTCCCGAATATAAAACTTTTACACTTTACTAAGACAAACCGCGATTTTTTTTTTCCATATGAACATACTGCTCTATATAAAGCTTTGACATAAGTTTTATAATATATGAAAAGTTCTTTTGCCGCGAAACTTGCTAATATTTACGAGAATTTTTGCGATTTTTTTGCGATTTTATAGCGTTAAAACTTTACGAATATATTACAAGACAGTAAGTTGTTATAATAATACGCGATTTTTTCCTTTCCATATAAATATATTACTTTATACAAGATTTTAATATAAATTTTATGATATATAGATAGTTACTTTATCACGAAACTCACGGTACTTTGTTGAGATTCTTATAATTCTTGCTTACTGAGGTATATTGCATGATTTTTTTTTTCTGAAACATTTTTTTGAAAATTTAAAACTATTATAGACTATTCTGGTTCTTATTGTGATTTAATTTCGTTTTAAATTTTACTTATTTATCATCTTTTAAAATATTTAGCATTAACATGGTAGACTTTAAGTAATGATATAAGATGGTGTATCATTTACCATCAACTTGATGGGTTTTCAGCAATAGAAACTGCTCTTAGTCTTTACATTGGCGTTTCTACTGTGTATGAGATCAGAAGAATTTATGATCATTGGGATTGTGTGTAATTCATCCATTTAAAGGTCGTCAAGGAAGAAGAAAAACTGAATCTTGTTGTTTTAAATGTATTTATTTTGATTTATTATTATTGTAAAATTACTTTATTGATTAAGATAAATATTAATAATTAAAAGTAATATGGTTCGCCCTAACTATTACTAATGTTTAATTTATTAATTGATAAATTATTTATTGATTAAACATTTGATATTACAGATTTTAGATTCACTTGTAAAAGATAAGAAAAGTTTGTTGCATTATTGGTTTAATAGTATTACAGTAAAGGCACTTTTGACATGTATATAACAGGTTCCTATTTAATATTATACATTTATACTAAAGGTTTCTGGTTTTTCAACTTCGCAATTACTCATTGTAATTGTTTTTTGTATGCGAAGGTGTGATAATTAATTGTTAATAGTTAGCACGTGAAATCTGGATAAATATTATTGGATAATTTTTAATTGTTACACAAAATTTCGAGTTTCGAATTTTGCACGTGAACTACTTTTACAAAATAACAAATACACATATTTCTGAAAACGGCGATAAAAAATTATATCCTATATGAATAATGAAACATTGTGATTTTTGAATGGTGTAGCAAAATTTCTGTGTATTAATTTAATGTGAAAATTTTAATTTTTTACGATTTTTATCATCGTGTTATTGATAAGAGTAGAAAAAGTTTTTCAAAAGTGTTTGTACAGTGTGAATACTTTATTCAAGGTAGAAAAAAAAAAAATTTCTAAAACATCATGTTGGACATTATGACAGAAAGAGATAACAGAATAACAAAATAAAGTTGATTGATTTACAAAAAATAAATCTTTTTAAAATAAATGGAATTTAAATCGTAAATAAATTATAATATGATGTATGACCCAATCAGCAACGTCACATATTAGTTAAGAAACAAAATTTAGAAAAGAAATTTTCAGATTATTGATTGTAGAATAAAATCCAATTTTGTTACCGAATTCAAAACTTTCACAAAATAATAATTACATTGTATTTTTTTTTTTTTAAAAAAAAAATAGAGTAACTTGGTAATTATTAGTGAGTTATAATCATTATACTGTCAGATTGACTCGAAAATTTTGGGTCGGGTCATCAAATTAGCGCTAGAGGTAATAGGAGAAATATAAGTCAATACTCTCTAAATGGGATTCACTGGATCCTAAAAGACAAAAAGAAAGCATATCTCTGGTCAAAAAAAAATTTTAAAAACAATTAGAGAATTTGTGCTTACTGTAGTGCTGCAATGGTTAGAACATCTCCTGATCCGTGAATTCCAATCCTAAAAGACGGAAAAAAAAGATGATAGTAAAAAAAATAAAATAGAAAAAATATTATTTCAAAACGAAAAAATTGTACCATATGCATAGTACCACATACCACAGTGGTAAGCGTATTTCCTAATCTGTGAGTCTTTATCTGAAAGGATGAAAAAATAGATTTTTTTAAAAAAATATTGATATTAATAAAAAAAAAATAAAAAAATAAAAAATAAAAAAATAAAAAGTAAAAAAATTCGAATGGGAGAAACAGCACTCACCGTCTCACCGTAGTGCCTCAGCAGTAAGAATGCCTATCTAAAAGTTCTTGATCCTAAAGGACGAAGAAATAAATTTTTTTTTTAGAAAAGTAATCAAACAGAAAACAAATTAAAAAAAAATTGGAACTGGCGCTTACCGTGAAACTGGTTCCTTTTCCTTTTCACCATTCAATTTTTCTTCATAACTTTTAATATTCCCTTCATTTAAAATTATTGCACTTTCAATAATTGTTCTTGGACATTTATAATCATGAATAGGTAACGGTAAGCACGTCGATTTAGGATATGCCGGATTTATATCTGCTCCAGCTTCAATTAAGATACGGTACTGATTATTATTTACAGCGTGATTTATAGGTTGTACCGCCATGTTAAATCTGGAGTTTGTGAAGCGAGGTGGGTTTGATGTCTTTTTAATAAATTTGAACATCCTCTAATGAATATATGGATGGCTATAAAGGAAAATTAAATAAATTTATATTTTATTATAATTTTTTAATAAATGTATAAAAAAAAATAATAATAAATAAAAAAATAATTGCTTACTCTTGCACCATACTTCACTAATAATTCAGTCGTTTCTAAATGATTGTTAAAAATGGACATGCTGAGTGGAGATTCGATTCCTGAATTCAACGAATTTTAATAAATTAACCCACGATCAACCTAAATAAATGAATAAATAATAAAATTGGAACAAAAGAATAATAATAAAAAAGCTTATGAAAAAAAAGATAATACCTGGAAAGCACTAGCACCATTTTTTAACAAAATTGAAGCGATTTCCAATCCAGACTTCTGATCTTGAGTTAATAAGCATCATTCGAGGTTATATTATTATAGTTAAGCTTTATTTGTCCTTGAACATTTGCCCCAGCTTTAATTAAAAGTATTACTATTTCTACATGCCCAAATATGGTAGCATAGTCTAAATCGGTTAATAAATGATCACAAGTTTCAGTATTCACATCAATTATGTCATCTTGATCATTCTCCTTATCTATTGGATCAAAAACTAGATCTTCACGTTTCAATTTCAGATATATTAATTATTTCGAATGAATTATCAATCGACTAATCGTTTTCTAATAATGCATTACATCCTTTTGTTCTTGTGCTTTTTCCTTATTTTCATTGCTCTTTTGTAGTAATAATTCTAAAATATCTCAAAATCCATATTGCGAAGCCAAATGAACAACAGTTTTACCATCTGATATCCTTGCAATAATTCTTGCATTATACTTTAACAATATTTTAACTAACTCAGTATGTCTTCCTAGAACAGCCAATTGTAGTGGATTCTTCCAAGATAATCTCTCGCATCAATATTTACCCTTTCTATTTGAAAGTCCTCATCAACATTTGGTAAAGAATTTGATTTTAAGATACTTTCAGCAATATTCACATCACCTCTAGCATAAGAACTACACAAATCTACTCTAACATTAGTAATATAAGCTTGCGATGTCTTCATCATCAGTTAATAGGTGAAACTTCCAATTGTTTGCCCTCCTGGACCGTCCTTCATAAATTCCATTTTACCTCTTATAAATATTTTATCTTCCTCAACTTGAGCGGAAAATTCCTCTGGAGTACTAGGTTCGGGGCAGTGATCGCAACAATCGTCGAAAATTTTTCTAATAGTACTGATAAAACATATATGTTTGTGCAAAATTCTAGAATTCGATTTTTTTTTTTAATTTAGGATATGAAGTTAAATTCAAAGCGGAACAAAAATATAAACAAAGATAAAAGAACCTTTTTTTTTTTAAAAAAAAAAAAAGATATACCTTTGAATAAATTAATCTCGTAACCCTTGCTGCATCATATCTAAGTCACTATGGTAAAATAGACATTTCATAATCATTATTTTCAAATTTGGTTTCATTGATTTTATCTCTTCTTTTCAATTTCCTAGATTCATATACACCGGATTTTGGATAACTTGGACGGCAATTGCGTTCACGCTTTTTTATGCGTTTCTATTTTCGGGAGTGTTTACCATTAAGTTATTATATTGTAGGGTCAATTCTGGAACGTTCTAGTGAATGAACTTTGATCTATTTATGGTAAAATAAAATTCAATTGAATAAATAAATATATAAACTTATTTTAACAGAAGACATAAAAAATCGCTTGTATTACAAACCTTAAACCTCTTTCAGTATATGTTGCCAACCTCATTTCATATGACGGAGATCTTCTGGATAAATCAATCATATTACATTGTTTGATGATTGCTTGATGAGCTCTTGGTAAAGCTCAAACATTTTTACCATCAAACCTATATAACAAAGTTCGGGGATCATTAAAAAATAAAATCTATATAATTAAGAAAATGTCAAATAATTTATTACTCAACACTATAGCAATCAACATAATCAAAGTATAATCTAATAAATTTAATTAATAAATAATATTATTAAATATGGAAAATTTTAATCTTTAAATTAAATATTCATCGATAACATACTTGAATATGCCGATAAGGATATTGACTATTTTTTTCTTAGATGCGTCCAATCCATAAATGAAAAGATCGATATCAGGGTTTGATAGGCAATATTATGTGGACTAACATCATGAAAGCACAACAACACTGCGCCACCTGTTCATATTGCGAGATAAAAAAATCCTCAATTCTATTTTGTTTTTAAGTGATTTGAATAAACTGGCATACCTGCTGCAAATACATTTGACCAATTTAGTTCAATGAGGCTCGCTAATTTTTTTTTTTTTTTAATAAAAATCAGAAATATATTTTAAAAAATTTTGAATCAATTTTGTAAATATCATTTATATCATTTTCATGTTTTCATGTTTTCTTTTTTTTAAAAAAAAAAAATAAATAAATTTCTCATACATTCAGCGAATAATATTCATTTCCACCGAGACAATTAACAGGATCACCATGTTTTAGTCTTTCACTTCCGGTAAAGGCATAATGTACATTCCATCAACATCGTCATTTCCGGCTTCATTATTGAAAAATCTATTCTTAATTTTCCAAATATCTATATTTTCATATACGTTAATCAAATTCAGATATGGTTAACGTATTAATTTTAATTGGGAGAAGTTAGTATTTTCAGGTTTTAAAGCAAACATTTAACGATAAATTGATTCTTCTTTCAATGATGCTCGAATACCATGAAAAGAAGATAAATATTTCGCTACAGTTTGGTCTTTCACATAAATTGAAGCCATCACTACTATTGATCAATAATGAGAGAGACAAGGGGATGATCATTTCAAGTCTGATCAATTTATAATTTCAGTTTATCAGCTTGTCAGCTGACACCGATCACGAAATAATTTAATAACTCTTGATTTATTTTTATTTTATTTTTTTTGCATATCATAAAAGATATTATCTAGTGCTAAATTATTTATAAAACTGTATGAATTATTTTTTCGCATATTAACTAAATAAAAATTTGACCGAAGGCGCAATAAATTTGCGGCTAAACTTGTTAGACCATACAAACTAGTGCAATACAAATTACCATTGTTCTATCTTGGAAAAAAGATTAGAAGATAATGTTAATAGTAAATAATTTATAGAAGTATTCCAATAATGTAAAAAAGGCATTTGAAAGAATGACACAGCAATAACAATTTACGAATCAGCAAAGAAAAAAAAATTAATATTGAACAATGGACAATCCTTGTTTAAAAAAGGAGATACGTTCCACATAAATTACATTGTTCTTTATTTAATTATTTACGAATAACCAAATAATACTCATTTAGATCCAAATGGAAAATACGATTCTGATATTCGGACAATCCGATAATCTAATTTGAACATCTTGCAGCTAGGATATTTATTAGCCGCAGATTTTACTTTGTCTATTTGTCTATGGTCAAATTTTGGGGGCAGTTATTATTGCTGCCAATATCATGAGGCAAGGAGGGTGGGGCAGGGTTAGGGTCATGGAGTGGGAACAGGACGGTCCGGGACATGACCAAACTCTATTTGGGACCATGAACGTGATTATTTTGACAGAGATTCAGACTTTCGCCCGCAACCAACTTCTGCGTAATAAATATATTTGATTTTCGTCATGCATGCAAGGCGATAATATCAGGTTATATATTTTTCTTTTTTATAATATCTTTAAAAAGATATTTTTATTATTATTATGAATATATCCTAATTAACATTTTAAGTTTAGCAAATTATATCATATAGTCCTTTCTTTAATTTGTAAATAAATTTTTCATAAATAATAATGCATGGGTATTATTAATAAATGTCCGCACGAAATTATAATGATGGTGATTCTAGACAGACATAGGACTTGTCCCACCGATCAAGTGCTGTGACATTATAGTACGCAAGCATTTTAGAATTATTAGAATTATTGGTGACGTACAGTTGACTGATAATAAAAAATTTTCTTATTGAAAATAATGACTCATGATATGTGACACATGTAACACATAATAATAGATAAATCCAGTAAATATTAAGTATAAACGCAATAAAAGTATAAAAATATGACTCATATAAAAGGTGACAAAATCAGACACACAACAATTTATTGCTACTTTCTTTTGAGGGTCTCTCTTTCTTAGGACTCCTCTCCTTTCTTTAGACTTTGGACACTCTTTGGACTTCAGAACTTCGCTCTTTTCTTTGGTCCTTTAGAACTACTCCTCTCTTTTCTTTGGGACCTCTCCTTTCTTTCTCTTTTAGGAACTTCACTTCTTCTTTCTTTGGTGGGTGAGTATCATTTCATGTTCTTACAAGAGAAAGGAATTCATGTGTCATGGTTCTGTTTGCTAGGCAAAATTACATTTTGCTAATGACCAGCTGTAGCCTGAGAGAAACTGAGGTTCTATAGTGTTTTATGATGAATATTGTGGCAGTGTTCAGTGTTTATTGGACTGCATGAGGTACCTCTATGCACCTTGCTCTCTTGCATGATAGTACTTTCTCACATGGTTTATATGTTTGCCATCATA